CCTGGATGTTCTACTGCATACCCTGCTGATGGCTCGACTCTCGTTCTGTGCAGGCAATGCCATCCCCCACTTCTTCTGTGATGCGACACCCCTCCTGAAACTGTCCTGCTCGGACACACATCTCAATGAGATGATGATTCTTATCGAAGCAGGGTTGATCATGATCGCTCCATTTATTTGCATCCTGGCTTCGTATGTCCGCATTACCTGTGCTGTCCTGAGAGTCCCGTCCACAAAGGGAAGATGGAAAGCCTTCTCCACCTGTGGCTCGCACCTGGCCGTGGTTTCCCTCTTCTATGGCACCATCATCGCTGTGTATTTCAACCCTTTGTCCCCACACTCAGCTGAGGCAGATACAGCATCTGCTGTGATGTTCACAGTGGTGACCCCCATGCTGAACCCCTTCATCTACAGCCTGAGAAACAAGGACCTAAAAGGGGCTTTAGGAAAAGTGGTTGCTATGAATATTTTTCTTCTTGGTAATCGAATAGGCTAAGAAAATCATGGAGGGAACTAATTTCTAAGGAGACCATGTTGCTTTGTCTGTTGTGCAAAACTTAGCATTTGTCATTTGTAAGGGAATCATCTAGTATCTGTCTTGGGAGACCAGATTTGATGTAGCCTCTTCAGGTTAAGGATGGAAAGAAAGATCCTTTTACCAAATAACCTATTCCACTTATTAGTGCCCTCCAGCCCAAAACCCACTAGGAACATATGTCTTGTTAAATAAGTGGTTTATTAGGCTCAGAAGGGAGAATACATACCATGGGGAGTAGTGAAGCATCTTAGCAGGAAAGTATTAGGACTTAGAAAAGACGAGTAGTCTGAGATGAATTTAGTGAGGATTTAAGGAATTGGGTTTGTGCTCTAGACTACACGCTGTCACATAGCGGGGAAGATTCTGATGGAGTATCTTAAAGTATTTAACCTAGGGGGAGGAAAGACTGGACTAAGGCAAGACTGTGATTGGCAAAGAAGTAGCAGTAACTCGTATCAGCCAGCATAGCGGGACTTTGGTCATTTTTGTGGCTCGGACAGTGTTCAGACATGATTACAGACTGGTCTCTGTCTTGCTCCATAATGGTCACAGAGCAGCCCTGTGCGGTATAGAGCTCTTCCATGTTCATCTGGAGAGCACAGCACCTATCTGTGAGTGCCAGGCCAGCTCCTGGGTGTCAGGGCTGGTTTGTCTTTCTCACAACAGAGACATAGAGATAGGGGCGCATCTCATGGGAGGGTCAGACTGGTGTTGGGGCAGGAAAGGGAAGGGTTCATGTAGGGCTCTGAGAAGCCCTAATTCTGCCACAAATTCAAGCTAATTATTTTTTATCTTATCTGAGTTTTCTGGGTCACACAGCATTACAACAGGAATAAGTGTAAGTTAAACAAGAATATCTTCCAGAATCTCCGCTGTGTCAGTGAACTGCATCTTTTTACCATGCTGCCTTCAGTTTAGGTCAATACACTGAGATATTTTACATAGTTACTAATTTGTATCCTGATTTTCCACTATAATTTTATAATAAAGCTTTTCTAAATTGCTATCTAGTCTCCAGTTTTATTCTGCTGTACTTGTATATTTCCATCAAGTTGCTCTAGCAAAATATGCTGACTAGTAATTCTGTTTCTAAAGTAAAACATAAGGGAAGTTTACTATAACGTTATAACTCAATTTGTTTTGAAAATGATTGCAGAACATAATCTGACCAACATTTGAAACTAGTTTAAAACATCACTGAAAAGGATGCTCTGGATTTTGAGGAACAAAGAGGAAAACAGCATAGTTTCCTTTCATTTCAGAGAGACAGGTAAAATGACATCTTGCATAAAAACGGACAGAACTCAGAATCAGAGGATGTTTCTGAGTTTACCATGTGATTTTTATATTTATCATATTTGTATATCGAAATGTTTGCCTAATGGAATAGATGGTAACATTTTCAATTTTTAGTCCATATAGTACCTGTTCCTTGAAATTTTGAAAGAATCCCCCAGCTTTCGTTTCATGTATTTTGGTGGCCTGTGGTTAGGTGCATATGTTTATAATGTTTATGCCTGTTTCATCCTTTACCAATATAAAATTTATAGGCATAGAGTTCCTCATATTGTTGACCTTAAACAAAGTTATCTTACCAGCACAAATGGGTTTATCTGGAAATAGGAGAGAATTGCAATTAGTGACATGCATGCAATGACAAAACCATAGGGTTTCTCGGAAAACAAAGAGGACTGCTCTTTTATAGAGAAAGATGGGGAGTTGGGAGGGGCTGTTACAAGCAAAAAGTCCACGGGGGTCAGCGGAGTTCTGAAATGCAGTGCTTCCTTATTGGCCGAGTTGTGATTGTCATTGGCTAGGTTCTATCTGCGCAAGGACAAAACCTTTCTTTCTCCTGTTGGGATAGCCAGGTAGTTACTCACGACATATCTCTTCCTGTTGGGTCTGCGGTTGATGACCAAGGGCAGGATGTGAGAGCTCCTCCTTCTCACATAGTAGGGAGCTTAAGCCTCCCTACTGCCTTCAAAGTGAAGTTTCCTTTTATTAGTTTTCACAGTAATATTCCTTTAGTGTGTTTTTCATGTCCGGAGGATTCATAATGATGACCTCTTTCTCATTTCTCACAGTAATATTCGTGTCTTCTCTCTTGCTGGGTAGCTTGGCTAAGGGTTTATCAAATGTGTGGATCTTTTCAAAGAACCAGCTTTTGGTTTTGTTTGCTGGCTTTCTCTATTGGCTTCCTGTTTTTAGTTACATTGATTTCGATTCTAATTTTTATTATGGGTTTTCTTCTGTTCACTGTGGATTTTAATTTTCTGTTCCTTTGTAGATCTCAAGGGAGAAACTTAGATGATTGATTTTAGGTCTTTTTTCCCTAATATACGCATCCAGTGCTATAAATTTCCCTCTAAGGATTGCTTTCACTGCGTCTCACAAGTTTTGGTAAGTTGTATGTCTGTTTTCATATGCTTTCTATTTTTTAAAATTTGCTAAGGTGTGTTTCATGGCCCAGATGTGGTCCCTCTTGGTGATGTTTCACGTGCACTTGAGAAGAATGTGTGTTCTGCTGCTCTTGGATGAAATATTCTAGAACTGTTAGGGCAGTGTTGGAATTGAAGGTGAAACTAGGGTGGGCTCGAGACAATGGGAAGTGAGGACGAGACCTGCTCTACCAATGAAAATAAATGAAAATCATTTTTTATTAGCTATATCATATTTTGCGTATTTATTCATTTAGGCTGTATTTAATTTTCACTATTACAATGTTATATTTTTCCTTGTATTGAGAAGGTAATTGATGGGACTAATAGTAATATGTATTTTTTAACATTGTCACAATAGATGGATAGTATTTTCCCCCTTTCCCAAGACAAACATTTACATACGCGCACACACAGCCTGCTCATGTAATACACCGGACATCTTGTTTTTTCAATTTTTAATTCTTAGATTACTAGTGAGCCTGAACATTCTTTCATACTTCTTGCAGCCATTCAAGTTTATCTAAAACTTATGTTTGTGTCTTATTGGAATATTCCCTTGTCGCCTGCTTCCTCCCCCTATCTTATCCTTCTGGTCTCTGTTTGAAGGCTACTTCCCTAGTGTCCTCTCTGGAAAATCCACCTGTAACACTTCTGGAATTCTTTCCTTCCTAGCGCTTGTCATTGTGGAGCTGCATATGTAGTTTTGAGTTTTAGAGAATTTCTAACTCTTCTTCCCACCCTCCTCCCCAAGAAACACTACAGGTGCGATGCTTCCCTTTACGACCCCTAGTGCTTGTGTTGTGTCTTCAGGGGATGCATGCCTTCAATTTGTAGGCTTCATTTGGGGATGTCTTATTTATTTATTTTGAGAGGGAGGTGTGTGCAGGTGGGGCAGAAAGGAAAGAGAGAGAAGAGAGAGGGAGACAATATCCTAGGCAGACTGCGAAGTGTTCCTTAAAGGAGCCTGATTTCACAAACCCACTGAGTTGATAAGGAGTCGGACACCCAGCCGAGCCACCCAGGCACCCCATGCAGCAGATGTGCTAGCTGGCCCCTGCTGCCTTATTGGAAAACCATTCATTGTTGTGTTTACTGGTTGTCATGAACTAAAATTCTGATTACTGAATGTCAGCTCCTTAACCAGCACTTACTTGCCCAACAGCTTCCCAGTGCTCTCCTGTTTGGGGGTGTGGACCCTGGGAATCCTGGCTCTGAGCTCCAGAGCAGGGGTGAGGAGCATTCTACTCCAGACTCTCCAGGGTCCAGGGAGTAGGTGCAGGATGTCAGGCAGCCCAGGCCCCATCCTCTGGGGACAGTAGGTGACAATGACTTTGCTGGGCCCTCACCTGCACCACAGCCTATAGCACGTAGAGCAGCTCCTGGTGCGGGGAGGGGTTTGCATCGTGGGAGTATCACACACCCACCGGCCTTGGGTACTGTGGTCTGACCCTATGGGGACAGTTTTGCCCTGTAGACCCCGCCTTCTCCAGTCACTGCCTGGCAGCCACTTAGGCTTTGTTTTGTGAGATAACTAGGCAGGCCCCAGCCAGTCTTCCTGAGAAGTAAGAGAGTAACATTGTTGGCATCCAGTTTTGTCCTTGGTTTTTAAACGGTATCGTAGGCTTGAAATCCAAGGTCAATAAAGGACAGTTTTTTTGCATGTGACCTTTAGGTGTCTGAATTAGGACCCAGGACTGAATTGTATCATCACATGTCTTTCATTTTTAGTATGCTTTGAACCAAAACAAAACTTAGGTTTTGAAATAAATCTACAGGTTTAAGAAATAACCAGAAAAGGGGCGCATGGGTGACTCAGCCAGTTACATGTTCAACTTAGGCTCAGGTCATGATCTTAGGGTTCGTGGGTTCCAGCCCTGTGGTGGGCTCTGTGCTGACAGCTCAGATTCTGTGTCTCCTTCTCTCTCTGCCTCTCCTCTGCTTGGCTCGTGCTTGGTCTCTCTCAAAAATAAACATTAAAGATTAAAAAAAAAACCCAAAAAATTAAAAAAGAGAGCAATGGACAGAAAGAAGAAACAAAACTATTATTTGTAGATGGTATAATTTTGAACCACAAATTGTAACAGAACTGAGAAATGACTGAAAATTAACAACATTCAGTGAGGTGGCTAGTTTCACAAATATGCAATTAAAAAGAACTTTCCTATGTAAGAGCAATAGTCAACTAGAAAAATACAGTGGAAAAAAAAACTATTTGCAATAACAAAATCATATACAACTTACATTAAGAAAATTATAAAAATTTACTCAAGAATACAATACTTTAGTAAAGGCATGGGAAACAAAATTTGTAAAGCTAACAAGTTTTCCCAAATAGTTTATAGGATTAACCTATTTCAGTCAAAATACCAAGGTAAAATTTTAGGAAACTAAAATAAAGCAAAACTGATCAAGAATGTTTAAAATAACACCACAGGATCGGTCCCGTGAAGGCACCGCTGGCCTGGCCTCTGGGCGGACAAGTCAGGAAAATCTGGGTATCAGGAGCCCAAAGAGAACAAGTATCTACTACAATGAAGACACTGGAATCCTGTCTATTGAGGAACAATGTGAACTAGCCACTGGAGACTGCTAAAAATAAAACACTTTGCTTGTGAGGTAGTGACCACCCATCACCAAGGTTCTGAGGAGAGCTTGGAGAGGAAGTAACCACATGGTAAGGTTATTGGCCAGTCATGGGTCCAAGCCAATGTCTCCCTCTTCCTCTTCCAGCTCTTGGATTTCCTTCCTAGCAGGCTTTCTTCTTGGTTCAGCAGAGGGACAAGATTCTGAAGAGCTTTACCAGTAGTAGGGCTGGGTGGCTAGGCCTGAGCAATCTAGACTTCTTTTGGCAATAGAAAGGCATGAGAGCTATCTGAGCAATGAAGAGCTGGACAAAAATACAGTAAGCGCAATAGAGACTTTAAAAGTATGTTGTGAAAAGTATTCCTGTAAAAGTCACTACAAAATGCAAATCCTAATGAGATCGATGGTTAGTTTCGGTGACATACAAGTAACAGAGGAAGTCTTTGACATTCACTTGCTGTATTTTCCTATATCCCCAAGTAAACAATCCTTTTCAACACTCAAGCTTTAACAGGGTGTTCTCTGAAGGTTACGTGAATTGCTGAGAGAAGCTGTTGGTTTAACAAATCAGTAGTTTGGTTCTCTCAGGGGAACACAGTTCCAGGTAAGGACCTTTGCATTATTCCCCCCCACCCCCCCCCAAGTGTGAATTCCTATGTGGGGGGAAAAATGGATACACTTTCTGTATACATGCGTCACTCTGTTCTCTTTGCAGGAAAGTGGCCTCCAGACTCCTATTCAAAGCCTTTTTTGGGAAAGGGATCTGTGGCCTATACATTGTTGCAGAAGTTCACAAAAGAAAGCTCCTTAATCCAGAAAGTGTGGATACTGACTGAGGTATAGCCCTTGAGGATTTTTTCTTCCCTGTGAAATTTTCTAAAAATTTGAGGTTTCAGCCAAGATGGGTATTTACCCAATTTTGACTCTAATGAGGTTTTCACATATCTGTATCTTTCCAGAAGCCTGGGAATTCAGAATTCCTTATGAAACATTTCAGGTTGAGGCAGGACCATCAGATCTTTCCTGATCCCATTTCTGCTTTCGGGTCTTACACGCCGAATGGGTTTTTTCATGCCGGGTACAGTTGGAGAGCCGACCAAATCTTTTCCCACATTTTTTGCAACTATATGGCCTCTCAGCCTCATGGCTCTGCAGATGAAGCACAAAGTCTTTATTTTCTGGGAAGATTTTCCCACATTCTGGACACTTAAATATCTTCTCCCTTATATGGATTCCTTCATGGCGACTCCGATGAGAGTTTTGACGAAAGTTTTTCCCACACTGAGAACATGAATAAGGTTTCTCTCCTGTATGGATTCGCTCATGTTTATTAAGGTTTGTTTTATGATTGAAGCTTTTCCCACAGTGACTACAGTCGTAGGGTTTTTCACCAGTGTGAGTCCTCTGGTGGGAAATAAGGTAAGAACTTTCATTAAACTGTTTCCCACACAGTGGACAAGTGTACCATCTTCTCGTTCTCCGATTTCGGGTAAGTGCAATCACGTTGATATCCACATACTTTGAGAGTTCCTCTAGGGGAGTATCATTTTCAATGGTAACTAGAAGATTTTTCACTTTGATTTGTTTTGGAGTGGATGCATTTAGTCTGTCTTTATGGCAATATGGAGATTGCTCAGATACCATAGAACAATCTACTCCATCATAATCTGAAGTCTTATCTCTATGATCTTCACTCTCTACGGGTTCCTTCTGAAGATCTTCAGTCTCAGAATTAATGTCATGGACTGTGGAAACAAAGAGAATTTAAAAACTTTTGAGGGATATGACACCAGGCAGGAAAAAACAAGTTAGGTTTCTCATTAAACGACAATGAGTGTCAGAAATTTGAGGACTAGCAGATAATTGTTATCAACACTCCTCCATTTCCACTCTTACTGTGCGTGGAAAATATGACTGATAAATCTTTCTATTCAATGCAGTGGAAGCACACAGTCCTTTCCCCCACCCTCCGAGAGAGAGAGAGAGAGAGACAGCGTGCTCAAGTGGTGGAGGGACAGAGGGACAATCCCAAGCAGGCTCCAGGCTCAGTGCGGAGCTTGATGTAGGGCTCAATTCCATGACCCTGGGATCATGAGTTGAGCAGAAATCAAGAGGTGGACGCTCAACTGACTGAGCCACCCAAGTACCCTCTTTCCCCCCACCCCCCCCAAGGATTTGACAGTGGCAGTGATCTTTTTATTACAAACTATAGTTGGACTTCTGGGGAATTTCTCAGTTTTTTACCATTATCTCTTCCTTTATTTGAAAGGATACAAGCTTAGGTCCACAGATTTGATTTTTCTTTTCTTTCATTATTTTTTCTTTTTTTACGAATAATTTATTGTCAAATTAGTTTCCACATAACACCCATGCTCATCCCCACAAGTGCCCTCCTCCATGCCCATCCCTCCTCCATCCATCATTCCTCAGTTTTTGTCAGCATTCAAGAGTCTCTCATGGTTTGCCTTTTTTTTTTTTTTAAATGAAATGAGGGGGACTACACTGAAAGATTTTATAGGTTTGCTTTCTGAATAGGCACTAATTACTCAAGAAGTTCATATTGATCTTATATTCTGTGTAGAGCAGTGAGCTAAGGACCAGGGGATGAAAGACATAAATATTCAAGGGTATACCACTCCTCTTCTTTAGAAGGCAAGTGAAAGTGAATTGCTTTTAGGTTTTCACTATAATAAATATTATGATACTACAGAAATAAATAATACTATAATATCCTCTATAATAGTGAAAAACTGGGAGCAATTCAAATGACCAAAAATAATGAAGGCATATCATATTCACTTAGTGGATTGTTATTTGGGCATTAAGGTGATTACAAGTGTTAAAACTAAACTATGATAGAAATCCATAGTGGTCTTTTTGGGGAAGAAAGGGGAGTAGTAACTGGGCAGTGGGCACAAGAGACTTCTGGGGTCCATTTGAATGGTGGTTAGACAAATGAATGTATTTTGTGAAAATCTGAGGTATACATTTTTGATCTGTAGACTTCTCTGTATTTATTACCTCCAAAAGAAGTCCGTGTAAAAGAACAGATATAAAGACTAAATAACAAAGTAAAAAAAAAAAAAGTATACTGTGAAAGTGACAAGGGACCCCGAAACTCTGGGCAACTTATGGATATTAAAGGGTTAAATCAGCCACTGAGATATATGGCTGACCACAGATCTGTGATATGAATCTTTGCTGGATTAGTAGTTTTACACTAACAGAGGTTTTCTTTTTCATTTATTCCCTTAGGTAATGAAAATGCTGAGTCAAAGCATATGGCAATTTTTATCACAGCCCTTGACATGGACTGCCGTACTTCCTTCAAAAGAAGTCGTACCAGTTTCAATACAAGCATCAAGACGTGGGTATCAATTTTACGTAATCTTGTCAGCGTTTAATAGGTATAGAATGGTTTCTCATTGTAGCTTTATTTTGTACTTTGTTATTACAACCCCCTAATTTATTGGGCTAAGACTGTTATAAATTTACATAAATGTTACATATTGCAAATCTTACTCCTTGTGTAGGCAATCACTACTAATGTAGATATAACTGAAGCCTAACTCTGTAACTCCACAACTTAAAACCATAAGAAAGTATCAGTCTTTCAAAATCTGATAAATGTTCTATTCTCTAGCCATTCCTTTATGACTTACTTTTACAGTTAACTCTTTCTTTTTTTAAAGTGTATTTATTTATTTATTTTTTAAAATATTTTTATTTATTTCTAGGAGAGAGAGAGAGACAGCGTGAGCAGGGGAGGGTCAGAGAGAGAGGGAGACACAGACTATGAAATAGGCTCCAGGCTCTGAGCTGGCAGTCAGCACAGAGCCCGATGCGGGGCTCGAACCCAGGAACCGCGAGATCATGACCTAAGCAAAAGTCAGACACTTAACCGACTAAGCCACCCAGGCGCCCCTATTTATTTATTTTGAGAGAGAGAGAGAGAGAGAGAGAGAGAGAGCGAATGAACAGGGGAGGGGCAGAGAGAGAGGGAGAAAGAAAGAATCCCAAGCATGGACAGTACAGAGCCCTGTGCATGGCTTGAACTCACAAAACTCATGACCTGAGCTGAAACCAAGAGTGAGACACTTAACTGACTGAGCCATCCAGGCGTCTCTACAATTAGTTCTTAATATATATCGAGTTTAGTATCACACAGTATGTTATGGTTTGTAACATGTTTCATATCGGTAAAACCAGACAGGATATGCTTTTTAAAATTTTGACTCTGTTATTTACAATATAAATTTAAAAGACACCAATATCTTTACATAATTTCAGTTTTCCCATTTAGACCTGTCTTTGGGGCGCCTGGGTGGCTCAGTTGGTTAAGCGTCTGACTTTGGCTCAGGTCATGATCTCACAGTTCGTCGGGCTCGGTGCTGACAGCTAGCTCTGAGCCTGGAGCCTGCTTTGGATTCTGTATCTCCCTCTCTTTCTGACCCTCCCTTGCTCATGCTGTCTCTCTCTCTCACACACACACACACATAAAAACATTAAAAAAAAAAAATTAGACCTGTGTCTCTTCAGTATCTAAGAATCTTTTATATTTACCAATGAAACACCTGTGGCTTGCTCCTATTTTATAGCCATTCTGAATAATAGCTTCCATTATTTTGTGTTAACTTTTTAATTAATACAATTTTTTAAATAATGTTTTTGACAGAGAGACAGACAGAGCATGAGTGGGGGAGGGACAGAGTGAGGGAGGAAACAGAATATGAAGCAGGTTCCAGTCTCTGAGCTGTGGGCACAGACCCTGACATGGGACTTGAACCCATGAACTGTGAGGTCATGACCTGAGTTGAAGTTGGAAGCTTAACCGACTGAGCCATCAAGGCACCCATGTTAATTTTTTTAAAAGTTAATTTTGAGAGAGAGAAAAAGCATGAGGGTCAGAGAGGGAAGGAGAGAGAGAATCCCAAGCACTGATAGTGCAGAGTCTGATGTGGGACTTGAACCCATGAACCATGAGATCATGACCTAAGCTGAACCAAGTCACCCAGGTGCCCCCATTTTGTTAATTTAAGAATGCTATTGTTATACATTCCCTCTTTACCTACCTTAAAACTATTAAATATAATGTTTTTGTTGATCCTTTTAGATTTTCTAAATACAAACCATATTTTGGTTCCAATATTTCTTCTTCTTAACCCCTCATCTTTTTGCTTTATATGGTTAATAACAGTGATGGCAGGTTTCTCTATTTCATTCTCATTTTCATAATTTAAAAAAAAATGTTTATTTTTGAGAGAGAGAGCAAGCAAGCAGGCTGTGGAGGGGCAGAGAGAGAGAGAGAGAAACAGAGGATTTGAAGCAGGCTCTGGGCTGAGAGCAGAGAGCCTGATGCAGGATTTGAATTCATGACTGTGAGATCAGGACACGAGCTGAAGTTGGACAGGTAACTGACTGAGCTACCTACATGCCCCTTGTTTTCATTTTTTAAGAATTATCATCAGTGTTTTATGAATGACTATAAATGTCATGTTAAAGGGCTACCTGTTTTGAAGACAATTCATTGAAACATACTTTTTAAAAATTTTCCTGAGAGTGTCAATGAATATATCTTACATTCCTTTAGTATACTAATTTTTATGATAAAATTTAGTAGCTAATATATTTATATGGTACAAAAATCTAAATGTGAAAAGGTATTCGCTAAGGAGCCTTCCTCCAGTCCCTGTCCCATCCATTCTACTTGCCTCCCCCCCCAAGACACGTACCAATTTTCAGGGCTGGACATCTTTCCATGTGTTTATGGGTCATTTGTATACCTAAGCGAATCTATTGGTCTTTCTCTTGGTGTACAAAGTATGATTCACCAAATAGCTGGGGTGTCCCAACACCTTTTATGAGTCCCTTCTGCTTCACTGCTCTTTTCAATTTTCCTGGTCATTCGTATTTATTATTTCCATTTGAATTAGAGAGCAGACCAGGAAAAATCGTACTGGCTTTATTAAAGGGATTACATTCACTTCATGAATCAAGTTGGGGAAAAATGACCTTTTAATGTTAAATCTTCCTGGTCATCATGGTATTTTTTCCCATTCATTCAGATCTACCTCTTTGTCCTTTAGAAACGTTTTGAAGTTTTCCTCATAATTTCTGCATGTTTCTTCAGTTTATTTCTAGATGTTTAATCTTGTTCCTATCTTAATAACTTCTAAATGACTGCATATATGAAAGCTAATGATTTCCATATAATAATTTTTCATCCCATTGCCTTACTGAATGCTTACTATTTATAATTTTCGGACACTTCCTAGGGTTTTCCAGGTACATAATTATATCATATGTAATAGATTCTTAAATTCTTAAACATCTAATTTCTTTCTCATTTATAACTGGCCAATACCTAAAACACAGTATTAAATAGTAGTAGTGATAGTGGGCTTTGTTGTTTTCCTGATTTTGTGGGAATGCCTTCCAGTGTTTCCTATTAAATGCGGACTAAAAGGAAGTATCCATTAGTTATTGTTTTGTTTAGTGTTTTGTGAAGAAGGCAGAAGGCATTGGCATTTTGTCTAATATCTTTTCAGTAACTATGAAATTGATCACAGGATTTTTCTCCTTTTTTATATAATAGATATTAATAGACTTTCTATTATTAAATCACTTTTGCATTCCTGGAATAAATCTTCTTGGTCAGGACAGTTTTTATCAGATTGTGGTATCTGATATTAGTTTCATAAAAATAATTTTGAAATATTTTTTAATCTGAAAATTTTCATAGCAT